CCCCCCCCCCCCTCCAAACACACTCCGCAGTCACTGCATGTCTGAGGTACGCTGAGGCGCGCTTATTATACTTGAGAATTTGAGGTACATAACATCTAGTTTTTTTGTTTCAGTCAAACTCAGAACAATGGAAGCCAGTAAAACACATTTACAGTGCGACGTCTGTGAGAGATCATTCAAACAGCCTAGTGCCCTGATAGTTCATAAGAGAATTCATAATGGAGAACGTCCCCATATATGTGACTTTTGTGGCAAAGGATTTACTCAAACGGGCACCTTGACTGTTCACAGAAGATTACATAATGAAGAAAGGCCGTACGGCTGTGATGTTTGCCAGAAATCATTTACTAATTCAAGTGCATTGTCCCGACATAAAAAAACACACACCGGTGAGAAACCACACGAATGTGATGTCTGTTTAAAGAAGTTTGCTGATAAGGGAGGCCTTAAAATTCATAAAAGAGTACATACAAATGAAATGCCTTACAAGTGTGAAGTTTGTCAAAAACGATTCAGGCAGGCAGGTCCATATAAATACCACAAAGAAAGTCACGGGAAAGAGGTCTATGATTGCGATGCCTGCAAAAAGGTTTTCAAAAATTCAATGAGTTTGCGACGCCATCATTTACATTATGAGAAAGCTCAGTACAAATGTGATGTGTGCAAGTGTAAATGTTTTCCTGATTCAGAACATTTTGAGCAACATAAGAAATCTCATTCCCACATATGCAACTGTTATTATGCAGGTTTACTGCCCTGCAGGGTAAAAAGTGCAGATGAACTACCAAATGTGATTTTAAAAGAGGACGAGGGAAAATCATTTAGGTATTTAGTATGCAAGAAGGAATCTTGTGGCGAAGCTGTTTTGCATTATCATAAGACGGTTCTTGATAAGAATTGTGACCAGTCCGGACAGTGCAATGTCACAAATTCAGAAAAAGTACGGCCCGATCTTATTTCGGAAAATGAAGGTTCAAGCGAGGGGTTGCCAACTCCGCAATCAAATTCTTCTCCCGAAGCTAAGGAGGCAAACATAGCATGTTAGAAACTGGAAATTTAAAAAGTATCTACATGCAGATGGTGCAGTTCAACAGACTATATAAATGATATACGGGAGTGAAATTTGTCTGTTCACAGTATGGTTTACTCATTGCTGAAGAAGTCCGCATTAATTGGGGTACTTTGAGATAATTGATTGTTTAAATCTCACTTTGTGACGTTACTTTCCCATGTGCGTATCGAAGTCCAACCAATTATAAGTAATAGAACATTTGTGAGTGACTATATAATGCTGGCGGAGTATTGCTAATGAACAAAAAGACTATTGAAATTTAAAAACTATCTTGTTTGGGAGTAGAATGTTGGCTAATCATTGGAAATCGTTTCAACAGTTTGGCCGTAATTGTATTCTTTGCCCTGTATCTGACCTTTGTATTTGAATTGTACGTATAAATTTATAGTAGATTATCATTAGCAAAGTACGTATACTTATTCATTCATTCCGATAACCTATATAGTAAAGTATACTATACATGCATGATGGCCCATCTCCAGTATAAAGCGGTACATTTTACGTTCTGTATGCGTGATCGATTTAAGACGCCCAAAACCCGTCGTTTGAATTCTTCGTTGATGAATGGTAATTTCAAGTAGACGAATTGTTGTTGGTCATCGTTTTGACGTCTTTTGTTATGAAGAGTGCCTCTCATCACAGGTTTGATAAAACTTTTAGGGTACCCGTTGGCCACGAATAATTCTGTGATTAGGTTGAGTGATTGCTTTTGTGATACAGAATCGGTTGAACATTTAAAATAGCTCTCTTTTCTTCCCCGATAACAATAGCTCGATTTAGAAGAGATCGATTCGTGGCTGTCCCACGGTGTAATACACTTGCTATGAGTGGGTTTTACATAGAGGGTTGTGGAAAATATTTTGGTATGAGGGTTTAAGGTTACTATAGGCATGGCCTATCGAAGGGAAGATGGCGGTGAAACTCATTAGAATAACAATATAACTCATTATCTATATGTTTATTCATAAATCTTGTCCTTCACCGTCACGTGTGTATTGTATTCTTGCCCAACTAACCAATAGCAATGTTTTAGGAAAGTCACCTATCCGTGACTCGAACAATAGGGAAACTGGAAATTGCTGTTGGTGGATTTGGTAAAAATGCAATACACACGTGACGGTGAAACGACCAGATTTATGAATAAACGTTACTTGACAAACATGAAACATCATAATGAGTTATATTGTTATTGTAATGAGTTTCACAGCCATCTTCCCTTCGATAGGCTATACTATAGGGTGTCCAAAAATGGTAACTGGTTATTTGGGGGTAATTCTATTGTGAACTTGATACCATTAGCTGTTGTTAAAAGTATTTCCCCAGTAAGTTACTTAGATAATAAGAAGGCGAAATAGTCGTCAATATATCGCTTGAGTGTTACACAACCGTTCGATATTTCCAAAATTTTGTTGTCGAGTTCGTTCATGTATATAATGGCTAAAATATAGGGGCCGGGTTGCTTCCCATGGCCAGACCCGATTGTTGTTTATATCCTTTATTGCCGATTAAAACGCTATCGCTTTTAGACAAAGGCGCACAAGTTCTTCAAAATCTTCATCACTAAGAGCATGTAATTCACAATCAGTTTTTTATTCGGAGAAGAAACGTCGGGCGACTGTAAAAATGCTGGGAGTATCGCCGTCTATATCTTTCAGGGGAATAGACCCGTGCAAATTGCACACATCTAGGCTGCAAAACCCATGTACTACTGTAACTCGCTGTCTATATCCAAGATGAAGTCTATAAACTCATCCGTGTTTTAAGGTGGGCGGGGACGTGTCGTAAAAGCACTTGTAAGGATTTGGATAAATATTTAGATAATCTTGTGGCAGGCGTATACGTATCTGTTGCTGCATGTATGGGTCTGCCCTTTAGTTCTCCTTCCTTGTTGTCTTCTGGCAAACAATAGGCAGAGCACGGGAGTGGTTCGCTACTATTTCCAATATGGCGGTCAGTTCTAATTATGTTAGCTCTACAAAAAGCGTTAATATTTATTCAAAACAGTGGGATGTCAAAGAAATTCAAGAACACCCAACCTGCATGTACAAACTTTGCTACGATGGTACACGTATTAGATGGAGTGGGAGCTTCGATATGCTAAAAGAATTTGTCGAAAGCGCTATCAAGCTGCAAGGGAAATGGTCTTCGCCGGGTGGAAATTCGAAGAAGTTTACTTGCTGCAGTAGTGATATAACAATTACTTGGTATGCCAAGAAACAAAACACACTTATTTTACATGGAAATGCAAGTTTGGTATTGATTGATATACTGATCAAAGTCTGTAATACACTGTTAACATTTTGCGATTCCACAATAACCAAAAACATCTACAAGCTGATGATGCAAACACCAATGATATACCTGCAAACCCAGCTGCTGTTAAAGTTTTCGCAGAAATGCATGAACATATACTCGAAAATGATATTCAAGCTGAGAGATATGATGAAGAAGGATGGAACCCATCTTTGTGCGAATATTTACGCAAACCCGATTGCGGTTGTCAATGCGGTATGTTGGCTGCTGAACTTGAAGAGGTCAAACTTGACATGCTTATTATGAATAAAAATATTGAGTCAAAAATATCTGCAGCTATTAACGTACGGGAGAATGATGAAATAATCCAACTTCGAAAAAATCTTTTTAACGAAAGGAGAAAATGTAAGCAACTTTGTGACGTTGAACCCAACCCTACTGTTGATAGCTTGGCAGTCTCGTTTACAAACCAGTTAACAGAAAGTATTGACCGAATCTTCCCACAACAGACGTCAACACATCATCACACCGATAAACCATGGATAACACCTGCAATAAAACAGCTTATCAAATATCGACAAAAGGCGTTTCATGGTCATATTACAATCTAACTTGTGGAAATCGTTGAAATATAAGGTCCAACATGAAATCAATGCGAGGAAAATATCGTACTACAAAACAAAGGTGCAACATTTAAAGAAGGATGACTGCCGTATGTGGTGGAAAATTGTAAATAAAATGGCAGGAAAATCTGGAAAGACCTCCTCGCTTGAACATGATGGAAGAACTCTGGATCAATCAGAATTAGTTAGAGCTTTGAATGTGTTCTATGCATCGGTGAATAGTGACATTCCACCACTTAATTTAGCGACACTCCCGGCATTTCTTCCGGCCAAAGAACCTACTCCAACAGTTCAACCACATGAAGTATCTAAAAAGCTCCTTGAAATTAAACCTTTTAAAGCTCACGGCCCAGATAACGTCCCCTGTCGTATCCTGAAAGAGTTTGCCCATGAATTAGCCGAATCTGTTGCAACTACTGTCAACGAATCACTTTCATCTGGAATCGTCCCTGCAATATGGAAAGACTCAGACATCATACCAGTTCCAAAATCACAACCTCCTACCTGTGAAGGTGACACCAGACCCATCTCACTGACACCCTGCCTGGCTAAGGTTCTTTAAGATTTCGTGGTCGGGTGGATAATAACCGATATTAAAGACAAGATCGACCCCAAGCAGTTTGGATGCTTGAAAGGAACATCCACAACTTATTGTCTTTTAGACATGATCCACACTTGGTTGTGCAACTTAGAGTGTCCTGAAAAAACATCTTAGACTTTGATGCTTGTGATGTTACTCTGAGTGTATATCCACACCGGTCGTAGGTTCGATTCCCACCGTGGTCAGGCATATTTTTCAAGCTTGCCCGGTGTGGATATACACTCAGAGTAACATCACAAGCATCTTATTCACCTGAGTACATTGCACCAACACAGAAAATATCGTTATTACTAGATTACATTGATATCGAAGGAACTAGATTCTGTTCCGAAATATCACATACTCGAACCGACCAGACCACGTAGCTCAGTTGGCAGAGCATTGGGCTAGCATTCCAAAGGTTGTAGGTTCGATTCCCACCGTGGTCAGGCATATTTTTCAAGCTTGCCCGGTGTGGATATACACTCAGAGTAACATCACAAGCATCTTATTCACCTGAGTACATTGCACCAACACAGAAAATATCTTAGACTTTGTTTCCTTGACTTCGAAAAGGCGTTTGACCGTATAGGACATAATTTACTAATATTAAAGCTGTTGGACCTAGGTGTTAGATCGTCCCTGTTGCCTTGGATTATCAACTTCCTAACTAACCGCCGACATCGGGTCAAACTTGGAGGGAAAACGTCAGACTGGTTGCCAATGAATGCGGGTGTCCCCCAGGGAACTAAACTCGGTCCAATTCTGTTTTTGGCGATGATAAATGATCTTGATGTGAAACCACACGCAACGGATATTTGGAAATTTGTGGATGACATATCAACATCTGAAAATATCACAAAAGGCAGCAATTCAAAGTTTCAGTTCTGTATTGATACTATAAATTCTTGGGCTTCGTGCAACCTTATGAAACTTAAC